GAGCGAGCTTCCTCCTTCACCCAGGCAGTGAAACGTCTCTCGAGGTGAAAATGGTTCTTAGATAGCATTAGCTGACCTCTCTCAAACGTCTTTACAGGATGGTCCAAAAGTTGTCTCTTGGCCCAAAGCTCCGTTCCACATGTGTGTCAATGCTGTGGGGAGTGTTTTGGACCACTCAAGTTAGACGCTGTGAATTTTTGAAGTCTCTCGTTTAAATGAATGGAGCTCGTGCAGCTGACGCATGCGCAGATGCGTTTTTTCACATTTTCCAGCCCCCGCGGCCATTTTGAATCACTCCATGAGAGCCCAATTTTTGGCCCATTAGTTAGAACGGCGGAGATAGGCGTGACTACGTCCGTTAATATATACAGTCTATGGCAGGGATTAAAGAGTTCCGTCTAGGTGACGGATTTCCGTCAAATGAAATTGGTCTGGGAAAAAAAAAATATATATATATATAATGATAATAATACACACAATGAAATGATTGATTATAAAAATAATATATAGTAATACATATACGTGTTAATCTGTTATGTATATATATATATATATATATATATATCGATGTATAATAATAATTTGAATATAATTGTATTTATATGTATATAGAAATAATAAGTAATATAATCACGAGTGGGCCTTGAACGTGCCGTGGCCACATGAGCGCTCCGCAAATGAATCAAGACAATGGGACGTAGCTGAGCTCACGTGCAAATGAAGACGCGATGAAGTTATCATTGGTAACACGGAGGTGAAAGTTTCTGGAAACTGCACGGAGCTTTTGAAAAGGAAGAGGAGGAGGAAAAATTGAATCTCAAACGGAGCAATAACAGCAGCAGATCCGCGGACTGGTAAGCTGGGCGCGTAATAGAGGAAAGGTAATTAACGTTTACCAAACGCAATGCTAGTTTACTTAACGGAATGTACAAAACAGACTTTTCTGCGACTGGGAATGGGGACAAACATGTCTTGGTGAGCTTTTGATATTGTCTTGTTTGCGATCTTCTTGCAAAACTCAGCGTGATGTAAAAGAGCCAATCAATGAGTCATGGTGCGAAAAGATGAAAGTGGCCGGTGCTTGTGCGTACTTTGCCATAAAAAATTGCATGTATGGGAGTAATGAGAAAAAAGTTTTGATTCGCCACCAGCTCAAAACTGCGCACAAGGCAGCTGTTTGTGCACTTTCCCACACTTCATCTTTACCTGGTGCATCAGCAACAACTAACACTAGGCTTGCTCTGGCGGACCGTGTCTGTGGCTTTATCGCAGAAAATAACGTTCAGAATATCACTACCGCTGGTAGATTTATTTAAATCATTTGCAGTTGATCGAAGTGCACTGTGCACTCAAACTTGATAGGGAAACCTTTTTCTTAAATATTGACGTGTCCACAAACAAATGTGGACAGAATTTTATCGTCCTTTTGCAATATTTTGACTAGGGCTGAAACAAGTAATCGACGACTAATCGATAATTGAAATAGTCGACAACTATTTTAGTAATCGATTAATCGTTTTCTGGTTCACACGGACTCAAACAGAGCAAAAATGACATGAAAATGTAGTATTTTTGATTATAACCGACTTTGTTTTTATAATTTCATGAATATCTGTCTGTCTCATCCAATCAGATAGCAGAATTAGCACAAAGAGCCTGTTACAAACATTTAACTTTAAGTTTACGCCATCAATACGTCCTCGAGTGTTGCCACTTTAGCTTTTTGTGATGAAAATCAAAATAATTTCTACACAATTCACAGCCAAGCGATTACTCGATTAATCGTAAAAATAATCGATAGATTAATCGATTACAAAATAATCGTTAGTTAGTAGGACTTTTAAATCTGGATTCAATAAACTCACAGTGTTTAGGACAGCATGATCTGTAAATATGCTGCCTCAAACATTTTGTCATCTGATTCGGTTTGTCTGGATTATTAAATGCCGCCCTTTCTCATTTGATATGGATTCAATAAACTGTATACAATTTAAACAGTTGTCATAAAATGGTTTTCATTTGATAAATTTTAGTGGTTCTGTCCGCGGCGTCTATGGACCTGCCTTTGCGTCTATGGTTCTGTCCGCGGCGTCTATGGACCTGCCTTCGCGTCTATGGTTCTGTCCGCGGCGTCTATGGTTCTGTCCGCGGCGTCTATGGACCTGCCTTGGCGTCTATGGTTCTGTCCGCGGCGTCTATGGACCTGCCTTGGCGTCTATGGTTCTGTCCGCGGCGTCTATGGACCTGCCTTGGCGTCTATGGACCTGCCTTGGCGTCTATGGACCTGCCTTGGCGTCTATGGACCTGCCTTGGCGGCTATGGACCTGCCTTGGCGTCTATGGACCTGCCTTGGCGTCTATGGACCTGCCTTGGCGTCTATGGACCTGCCTTGGCGTCTATGGACCTGCCTTGGCGTCTATGGACCTGCCTTGGCGTCTATGGACCTGCCTTGGCGTCTATGGACCTGCCTTGGCGTCTATGGACCTGCCTTGGCGTCTATGGACCTGCCTTGGCGTCTATGGACCTGCCTTGGCGTCTATGGACCTGCCTTGGCGTCTATGGTCCTGCCCTCGCGTCTATGGTCCTGCCCTCGCGTCTATGGTCCTGCCCTCGCGTCTATGGTCCTGTCCTCGCGTCAATGGTCCTGCCCTTGCGTCTATGGTACAAAGCGACCACTTCACTTCACTTCACTTTATTTCATGTCCCCGATGGGGCAATTTTGGTTCACAGCACAGGGACACATACAAAGAAAAAAGACATAGAATAAACATTTTCCCATACATTCAGACTAACAAGGTGTCCATATACAGTCTTCCCGTCAGGTCAATGGCAGTTTAAAAACAGGATAAAAAAGAAGACAAAAACTGTCCCCCTCAAGCAAAAATTTCAACCCCTATTTCCTCCGTCTCTGGTTTGAGTTTAGTGTAGAGATCGCTGCAGGTACGAAAGAGTATTTATATCTATTGCTCCGAATCATTGGAGTTCTGAGTCTGGAACCAGACGGCAGGTAACTAAACTCTTCATGAAGAGGGTGAGCCTCATTACCCAGAATCCTCAGAGCCCTCCTTGTCACCTGACCAGTGAACAGCTCAGAAAGTGGAGTCTGAGGAGCTCTCAAAATCTTACCACTCAGGTTAACTATTCTGCTGAGTGACTTTTTCCCTTTGACATTGAGGTTACCAAACCAACTCAACATGGAAAAAGTTAAAACTGACTCAACACAAGATTTGTAAAACAGTCTCATTATCGTCCCGTCCACCTGGAAATAGGCCAGTTTCCGGAGGCAGAACAGAAGCTGCTGCCCTTTCTTACACAGAACATCTGTGTTTTCATTGAAGTTCAGCCTGTTGTCGATCCATGTCCCCAGATACTTGTAACTTTGGACGAGCTCCACTCTCTGACCTTTGATCACTGTAGCTTGAGGTGACGAGACTTTCCTCCGAAAATCCACACACATGTCTTTAGTCTTAAGAACATTCAGCTGCAGGATGAGTCGTCCACCGCTGCCCTGGGCTCAGAGCAGAGGATGTGAAAGCCGTTCGAGTATGTAATGCAAACAACAGAAAGTTCCCGCAGTCACACATTTAACAGAAAATGGCATTTTCAGCTGTAGTTGTAAATCGCGGATCCCGCGGAACATTTTAATTCCTGGTTTTATCCAGATGCATTTCTTTGATCCAGAGAATTACCAATGAAGAGAATTTTTCAAAAACGAGAAAAATAGCCAGTCCCGGCTCCAGATGAAGAAATGTGTTCCCAGCCTGAATGCGTTAAAGCAACACATCACTTGCCCGTCCCACATCTTTACTTTCCTCGGGCAAGCGGGCAACCGTTAATGTCGAGCCCTGCATTAATATTATATGGGAGCAGATTTCAGCCATTCATTCAGGAGCTAGAGCCACGATTCAAGTTCCCCTGCCCCGGAAAAATTGATAAAATAATCAAGCTGTACGACACAACCAAAGGCAAAATGAAAGAAATGCTACGTGGAGAAAAACTATCATTGACCACTGATGGGTGGAGCTCTTTGGCCACGGAGTCATACGTGACCGTTACAGCATTTGTCAGGGGTATTCAATTAAAACTCACCGAGGTCCAGTTACTAAAATTTCCTCCAAGTAAAAGGTCCGAACATTTCATTTAAACACACATATCGTATGGTTTCAATAATATTTATAGTCAATGCAGGAAACCTTTAACAGAGTGAACTTGTATAGTAAACTAGCTCTTTTACCATAAATACAAGTAGTCCTGCAGGCAAAAAATGTAAAGCCTTTTTTCAGTCAAGAAAACAGAAACCTCAGAAAAAAATAGTTGCGACCGTCAGAAAAAATGCTCCATGTAATCGACTATTCTTGTAAATTTATCAGAGATTGGTCACGGCTCACGGGTCCGTACAGAACCATCAACCGATCCGGGTCCAGACCGAGGTCCGCCATTTGGTGATGCCGGCGCAAGTTTCTAGTTTACTCTATAGTAAGTTCTGTAATAGTTTGACTGATAAAACAACACACAGTAATATAGGAAATGCTGTCAATATTACTCTAGTTACAATTGTTAAAGCCCTGTCTTAGTCGTGATTTTTTTTTATACAAACAATCCACGATCAAACGACATGAGTTAAAATAAGTTGAATGTGTTGGTATAACTGTTGACAACCAAAACAAGTTAATGTTCCAGGTTATTCCATAACTGTACATAGACTGTATAGATTGACTGTGCTAAGCCGCTAGCGTTCACATACAGTGTAGAGCAGCACGGTGGCTTTGCAGATAGCACTCTCGCGTCTCAGCAAGAAGGTCCTGGGTTCGTGCACCTTTACCTTTAGCTTTATGAAGGCTCTAGTCCTACTTTGAAACTCCTCTAGCTAAAAATCTGTGGTTTATCGGTTTCTGTGATCCTGGTGTTTACATTTTGATATTGCCTTTATATATCCAGATATTAGCCAAATGACCCTGAATTTGACTTTAACTCGAGGTGCTTGTAGGTGCTTTACTTACAGGAGCAGCAGGAGGAAACCCAGGTTGAGCAGGGAACCCAGGGTAAGAGGGGAACCCGGGCTGAGAAGGGAACCCAGGCTGAGAAGGGAACCCGGGCTGAGAAGGGAACCCAGGCTGAGAAGGGAACCCAGGCTGAGAAGGGAACCCGGGCTGAGAAGGGAACCCAGGCTGAGAAGGGAACCCGGGCTGACACGGAAAGCCTGGAGCAGAGGGGAATCCTCCATACGCTGGAGGGAACCACCCGGGCTGAATGGGCTGTGTGCCAATGAGAGGACAAACATTATACATTATTTACAATCACAAAGCCTTGAACCTGATCTCAAATCTACAAACTGGCTTCAATATGCAGCAAGATAAAGCTGGGGTACCTGGCTTTTATATCATACATATATCAGTATATTCCAGTGGTGCTCTCACCGCGGCTTCAGGGCTCATGAAGGAGATGGAGGAGATCTCTACGCGTCCTTCCACTTTGATGGTGTCCACCTGGTGAAAGGGGAGCCTGTGTCTGAACTCCAGGACGTGCTGGTTGTTGATGGACACCTGCGCACAAGCAGCACAGAACAGTCACATGTGCTCTGTAAGCCTTTCATACACAAACACACAAACAAAAAACACTATAAGCACAATAATAACTAATTAACTAACTAAAAACATGTATCCAATAGCAAGGTCAGGGGTGCTCACTGGGTCCTAAACAAATGCCTTTCTCTGGGTTGTTTTGCTTCAATGTTAAATCTATAAATAAATGAATATGTATTATTACCAGCGGGGTCCCAGCTCAAAAGTGACCAAAATGACGTGCGCTGACATGCTGCAATACCACCCCGGGCCGATGGGGGTGGACCCAGAATGAGAATTATTCAATGCTAACATATAGCATTGGCTGACCTCTCGAAAACTTCTTTACAGGATGGTCCAAAAGTTGGCTCTTGGCCCAAAGCTCCGATCTGCGGGGAATGGATTTATTTGGACCAGTCTAATTTACTCCCTGTGAATTTTTGAAGTCACTCGTTTAAATGAATGGGGCTTGTGCGAGAGAGCCCAATTTTTGGCACATTAGTTAGAACGGTGGAGATAGTCGTGGCTACTTTCGTTAATATATACAGTCTATGATTATAACATGACCTTTATTAAACCAGGAAAAAACTATTGAGATTTCCGAGTCTCTGTTTCATGGGAGTTCAGGCCCCGAACAGAGGGGAGCTATTGTTCATATATTTGGGAAACCTACAAAGACACAGGAAGAACATGCAAACTCCGCTCAGAAAGGCCCTGTCTGGAGGTGGAATTGAGCCCAGACGTTCCACCCACTCTCCTCTCCTTTCACATGTGCAGTTAAGTTTATACATCCCTAAAACAAAAATATTGCAATGCTGAATTGAATACCAATAAAATTAGCACCAGTATCATATTGGCCTGAAATGTGTGATATCAGCGCGTTGGTACCTAGTATGCACTCTGTTACCTAGTATGCGTGCTGGTACCTGGTATGCGGGCTGGTACCTGGTATGCATGCTGGTACCTGGTATGCGTGTGCGCGGACAGTGATGGTGAGGCTGAAGCCGGCGCCCTGGGGCAGGGGTGGGTTGTGGTGGCGCTCCTCCGCAGCCCAGGCCCCGCTCTGCTGACTGTTGCAGACAATGGTGGTCGGGTGACAGTCAAAGCGCGGGTTGAAGTGAAACGCCACGTTCGCGTTGTGCCCCGAGCCGCACTGAAGGTTCAGGCTGAATCTACAGCAACAGGTAAAACAATCTGGTATTTTTATCTGCAGTCTTTAAGGAACCATGAATGTCCCGGAGCATCATGTAAGGGACCACTCAAGAAAACATTTATGACGCAGAGAATGATATCAGTGAGGCTGATATTGAAAGAGGAATCTGTTCCCACGGATGGACAGGCTTTAGATCCAGGACTGAGGCTGTAGATCCAGGACTGAGGCTGTAGATCCAGGACTGAGGCTGTAGATCCAGGACTGAGGCTGTAGATCCAGGACTGAGGCTGTAGATCCAGGACTGAAGCTTTAGATCCAGGACTGAGGCTGTAGATCCAGGACTGAAGCTTTAGATCCAGGACTGAGGCTGTAGATCCAGGACTGAGGCTGTAGATCCAGGACTGAGGCTGTAGATCCAGGACTGAGGCTGTAGACCCAGGACTGAGGCTGTAGATCCAGGACTGAGGCTGTAGACCCAGGACTGAGGCTGTAGATCCAGGACTGAAGCTTTAGATCCAGGACTGAGACTGTAGATCCAGGACTGAGGCTGTAGATCCAGGACTGAGGCTGTAGATCCAGGACTGAGGCTGTAGACCCAGGACTGAGGCTGTAGATCCAGGACTGAGGCTGTAGACCCAGGACTGAGGCTGTAGATCCAGGACTGAGGCTATTACAAGTATTTTACATGGGTTAAAGTTGAAAAAATTCCTGAGCCTGAACCATCTATATGAATCATAGAATGATCACTAATAAGCGTTTTTTATAAGCGCCTTTATACGCTCATACATATAATTTATATCTATTTAATGCCAACAACTGATGTTTATTATAAACATCAGTTGTTGGCAATAAATACATCATCCAGGGGTTAAAGCAAAAAAAAAAAGATTTGACTGAAAATTTTCTCATGGAAATATAATGAATTACAGATCAAACGAATTCTTCAAAGATATACATTTAAACTGGTGTATTTTGATGTGAAATTACAACCAGTGGATCAAGCAACTTGTCAACTCTTTGACAGAATATTAGTGAGAGTAGTTCATCTGCATCATTGGCTTTACTTGAGGCGAGATGAGGCGTTGTCCTTTGGCTCTGTCCTCGTCAAAATATCGCAAAAGGACATTCAAAATTCTGTCCACATTTGTTTGTGGACACTCAATGTTTAAGAAAAAGGTTTCCCTATCAACTTGGTGCTAGTGCACAGCGCAGTTTTATCAACTGCAAATGATTAATGATAATTAAATCTACCAGCGGTAGTGATGGTTCTGAACGACAGGTTATTTTCTGCGATAAAGCCACAGATAGTTTTAGGTCACAGACACAGTCCACCAGAGCAAGCCTAGTCTCAGTTGTCGCTGAATCTGATGCACCAGGTAAAGAAGTGTGGGAAAGTGCACGGACAGCTGCCAAGTGCGCAGTTTTGAGCTGGTGGTGAATCCAAAGCTGTTTTCTCATTACTCCCATATAAAAAAATAATAATAGCGAAGTACGAACAAGCACCGGACACCTTCATCTTTTTGCACCATGAAGCAACAGAATCCCATCGTCTCCACCTCATCCAGCCATGCCCACCTCCATTTATTTTTCACTCCGTTATCAACAGCAACTTATACAGCTCCTTCTTCCATAAACAACGATCCATGATTGTGATTGTGCGTGCATGCTAGGCTAGCTTTGATGAATGAATATAAGACCTGCTAACACACACCTTTCTTCAGCGAGTTTCTTCCGTTCGCTCTCGTTGATTGGCTCTTTTTATCACGCAGTTTTGCATGCGGATCGCCACCAAGATATTATCAAAAGCTCACCAAGACATGCTTGTCCCCATTCCCAGTCACAGCAAAGTACATATTGTACATTCCGTTAAATAAAAAAGCATTGCGTTTGGTAAACGTTAATTATGTCCTACCTTTCCTCTGATAACGCGCCCAGTTTACCGGTCCGCGGGCTGCTGGCTGTTATTGCTCCGTTCGGGATTACATTTTCCTTGTCCTCTTCTCCTTTTCAAAAGCTCCGTGCACTTTTCAGAAACTTTCACCTCCGTGTTACCATCGCTAACTTGGCTACGTCCCATTGCCTTGAATCATTTACGGAGCGCTCATGTAGCTAGCCACGGCACGTTCAAGGCCCACTCGTTACTTTTTATTTCTATATACATATAAATACAATTATATTCAAATTATTAATATATATCTAGATATATACAACAGATTCACACGTATTACTATATATTTTGTTATAATTAACCATTTCATTGTGTGTATTATATTATTATTATATATTTTGTTTTTTTTTCAGACCAATTTCATTTGACGGAAATCCGTCACTTAGACGGAACTCTTTAATCCCTGCGCTATACACATGCAATCCTTTCATACAATTGGTAGAACACACTTGAACCTTTTTCAAATGACAGCAATCATTATTTATTTATATATATATTAAAAAAAAAAAAAAAAAAAAAGTGATGTTTTTTTTTTTTTTTCTCACGCCGGATTTCCGGCACGGTGCCGGAAAACTTTAAGCCCTGATTTTATGACCTAGTTCCAGTGAGTTTTAAAAGTTAAGAACTCCAGCTTTAAGTCTATTGGAGTCCAACCATAGTGTGTTGTTTCTCAGACCTGTCAGCCGCCGGCAACACTCGCCCGCTCACAGTGATGGACTTCCCGTCTTGCAGACCTCCGTGGATCGAGCCGGTGAACGGGACTCTCTGGAATAAAAACACAGAAAATAGAAAATCACTAATTAAAAGTTACTAAAGATAAAAACTCTTATAAATGACTATCGTCCTGTGGCCCTCACGTCTGTTCTTATGAAGACTTTTGAGCGGCTCGTGCTGGACTTCATTAAGAGCCAGATCCCTGTGAGCGTTGACCCGCTCCAGTTTGCTTACAGACAGAACAGGAGTGTGGAGGATGCCATCTCCTTTGCTCTGAACTCTGTCTACAGTCACTTGGACAATAGGAAATCTGTTGCAAGAATGCTGTTCATTGACTATAGCTCTGCTTTTAATTGTCTTGTCCCAGGTAAACTGATTGAAAAACTCATGTCTCTCGGTTTAAGTGTTGCCATGTGTAAATGGATCTATAGCTTTTTAACTGACAGATCTCAGAGAGTGAAAATCAATGACTGTTTTTCAGATGTTGTTTCTGTGAGCACTGGATCTCCTCAGGGATGTATTTTGAGTCCTTTACTTTTTACATTGTACACTCATGATTGTGTGTCTTCCTCAGACTCTAACCTGATCCTTAAATATGCTGATGACACCACCATCATCGGTCTCATCAGTAATAACGATGAATCGTCTTATAGAGCCGAGATCCAAAACGTGGTTCAGTGGAGTAAGGCTAACAACCTCCAGTTGAACGCATCGAAAACGTGTGAACTGGTCTTTGATTTTAGTCGCAATAGTTCTCACTTGCCTTGTCGCAATCGATAACTCCCAAGTGCAGATTGTAGAGGAGTGTAAGTTTCTGGGTCTAACTCTGTCTAATGACCTGAAATGGGTTAAAAACACTGACCGGGTCGTAAAGAAAGCTCGTCAGCGTCTCTACTTCCTGCGGAAACTTAGAGAATTTACCACTAACTCTAAGATTCTGCTTAACTTTTATCGCTGCACCATTGAGAGTTTACTTGTTGGTTCTGTGTCTGTGTGGTTCGGTAACATCACAGATAAAGAAAAGAGAGCTTTAAACAAGGTGCTCCGCTCTGCTAAGAGGACTGTAGGCTGTGAACTTCCTGTCCTGGAGGCTCTTTATCAATCCAGACTTTTTAACAGTGCCCTGAGAATTATCAATGACTCTTCTGGCCACCCAGGAAAAGCCTTGTTCCAGCTTCTTCCCTCTGGCAGAAGATACTGTTCTCTGAGATGCAGGACATCTCGTTATGCTAATAGTTTTTTTCCACGAGCTGTTATCAGTTTGAATAGAGCACTTGAATGTTTTTGCACTTGTATAGATCTGTTTTAGTTGGTCAACTTCACAGTGACATTTGTTTACTGTTTTTAAAATTTGTTTTATTTTTGTCTTTTAATGTTGTTTTATGTCTGTACTTGTCCTGTGCACACTGGGAACTTTTACTAATGTATTCCAATGTAGTGTTACTGCAAATGGCAAATAAAAATGAATCTGAATCTGAAATGACTTTTAATTATTATTTAATTTTTGTTAACCAAATATTGGACTAAACAACAGAAAACTACAATCCCAGTACAATTCTTTTGCCTTTACATTAACTATCTTCACTTTCTCTAGTTATTATGTGGCAGAACCTTCAGAATACAGAGAATTTCACTATTTCATCACACATCACACTCCTCCCTATGTAAAGGAGAGCAATGTCCTTTCTCGACCTGCAGCAGTCACGTGGTCTGTCATAAAAGAAATGTGTCTTGTTTGTACTGTGCTAAGTAAATAAAGTGTTTAGTTCTTTGTTGGGAGACCTCTGGGACAGGTGCAACAGCAGCAGCAGTAGAAGCATGTTTATGTAGTAGTAGTCATTTAAATTAGTAATCTATTGTTAATAAAGTAATATCAGTAGTTGCAGTTGCAGTAGACAACGTCACTCAAGCAAAATAAACGGACCCGTAGTGCAGACTAAACATAAAAAAAATATATATATTTCCTCAAATATATAAGCCATGTCCACACTTACCTTATCCATTACATTTTTACCTGAACGTCTTAACTATCCCTTATTTACAGTATCTCTCTCTTTAGCAAAGTCTGGAGCTGTTTTTTAGTGACAAAGAAAGACAAGGAAGTTTCACTGTGAATTTGGATGCAACCTACAACGGTATTTTGCTCTTTAGCCATAATCGGCCAGAACCCAAATACTTTGTTCAAAAACGCGTCAAATATGATTATTAATATATGCACAGGTGATTGACAAGTGTTATTTCAGCTGCAACGCGGGAACCAGAATAAATTGCATGTTTTTAGAAGAAAAAAGTAGAAATTGCTGCTTTAGCCTTACTCACCGGGTTGTAGAATGGAGTCTGCTGGTTAAAAGCCATATTAGTGGAGTATTATTATTATTATTATTTGGAGCAGAGAAGGAGAGGTGAAGGATGTGGCCCAGGCTTCAACTGTAAGTAGAGATTTTCTTCTCTCTAGTTTCGTTTTCTCTGAAGTGGGCGGGGTTAACGGGACGCGTGGGATGTAAGTGGGGGCCATAGGTGGAGCGCAGAGAGAGGGATGGCGAAATAGTAAAAAGTGGAACTAGAGGTATTAGTAGGATTAGGAGTAGTAGAGGTAGTAGAGGTAGTATTTTTGTCATTAGTAGCACTAGAAGTAGTAGAAAGTAATAGTAGTAGCAGTAGCAGTAGCTGTAGTAGTAGAAGAAGTAGCAGCAGCCGCAGTAGTGATAGTAGAAGTAGTAGTAGTAGCAGTGGCAGTAGTAGTAGTAGTAGTAGCAGCAGCAGCAGCAGTAGTAGTAGTTGAAGTAGCAGTTGTAGTGATAGTAGTAGTACACTGTAAAAACGACAACTCAAAATTGTTCACCTTACCTTACCTTAAGATTTTTGCATTCACTGACAATAAAATTGCAAGTTGTAACTTGAACGGTCTATTGTGAGCCACTTGAACTCACTTTCAGGAGTTACTCACCTTATTAGATAAATTATGTTCATTTTACTTTGAAGTTGTAGTTAAAGTAAAATCTACTTAATCAACTTCTGTGAGTGAGTTCAAGTGGCTCACAACAGACAGTTCAAGTTCCAACTGACAATTTTATTGTCAGTGAATGCACAAATCTTAGTAAGGTGAACAACTTTACTTACAGTTTACCGAGCTAGAGTGAGGTCAACTTATCTGCGCACATTTGTCATGGCAACCGGCTGCAACTGATTTGACCAAATAAATCATTGTATTTATTTTTACCAACCGTAATCGACAGGGCCAGGCCAAAGTAGCGCCATATAGTCCCTGGGTCAACCATTTAGAATGTTCTAATTGTAATCAAAGGTCACTGAGCCTGAATGCAGTTCTTGTCACAAACTGAGTGCTAATTGAGTTGCACTATTGCTTCTCAATCTGAGAGTTACTGTATAAGAGTTCAGGACCTTAAGACTAATATAAGTGTCAAATGAGCTTATATTCTCAAGTTCATAGGATTTATAAAACTAAAACGGATTAGTAAAAACAATGTGTAAGTTAGTCTAGTGAGCTTATGAGTGTTAATAAATACTGTGTTTAATGAACTTATATTGTTATGTTTATGGTATTCATAAAACTCATCTGTATTGAGGGAACGAATTTCCTTAAGAAACGTTGGTTTTCCCACATTACAGTGTGTGTCGCACGGTGGCTGAGTGGATAGCACTCGTGCTTCTTGGCAAGAAGGTCCCGGGTTCAAATCCTGGTCAGAACAGGGCGTTCCTGAGTGGAATTTGCAAGTTCTCTGTGTCTGCATAAGTGTCCTCCGGGTGCTCCGGTTTCCCCTGGCCAAGTGACCTTGGTCTGTAAAAGCGCTATATAAATACACATGAGGATGAAACAGGATGAATGTGGGGGGTAACACGAAATAGTAAGTTATTGCAGCGGACTGTAATCTGAACTTAAAATAGTACGTTTTTACAGACTTGAAAGTTCCAGTTACTTGAATTACAAAAACGTAGTTGGCAGAACTAGAAACACTTAGCTGACACAACTTAATGATTGTCGTTCCTCAAAACGTAAAGAATTAAGTTGATGCTTCAACTCAAAAGTCGCGTGCAGCCAGTTACCTTGAAACTTTGAGTTGAACTAACTTTTTCGTTTTTACAGTGTAGTAGTTGCAGCAGCAGAAGTAGAAGTAGTCTTAGCAGTAGTAGTAGTATTAGTAGCAGCAGTAGTAGTAGTAGTAGTAGTAGTAGTAGAAGAAGCAGTAATAGTAGTAGTAGTAGTGATAATAATAGTAGTAGTAGTAGTAGTGTGAGATTTCATAACACTTTTAAGCAACTTTTGTTAAAGTTAAACTCATCATTCTAACAATGTGGAGAAGCCAGTACTTTTCCATTTGATGTTTTGTCTGAAGGCCAAGCTACATGGCACTGTGGCAGCTGCTGATTGGAGGACTTCATTCTCCCATGCTATATTATCACTAACAGTTTGTTACATCCTTTGTTCGTGCTGTCTCTACCATTGACAATAAAACATGTCTTCTGTCTGAATTAAAGACGCGATCCCAGACTGTCTCTGTCGGCTTCATTCCTGACAGTAGTAGCAGTGGTAATTTAGTAGAAGCAGCAGCAGTAGTAGTTGCAGTAGTAGTAATAGCAGTAGTTGTTGTAGTATTAATAGCAGTAGTAGTAGTATCCATCCATCCATCCATTTTCTACCCTTTAATCCATTTCTGGGTCAGGGGGGTGGCAGTCAAAGATGCCACCCAAGTCTCATAGCACCAGCCCCTCACTGACCCTCTGCAGGTGGTGAGTCCACAGGAGGACGGCTGCTCTCTGAGTGTGAGCATAGCCTTGATCTTTCAGTTGGGGCTTTGGGCAAAGTGGGGTTAAGTGTCTTGCCCAAGGACACAACGACAGCAGTCATCAGTGGGAGTTGATGGAGAAGGTGTAGAGGTGGGAATTGAACCCACGACCTTCTGGCCTTAAGACCAATGCTCTACCAACTGAGCTACTGTCGCCCTGTCACCACTACTAGTAGTAGTAGTAGTAGTAGTAAAATAAGTAGTAGTGTTGTGTTGCTAAATGTGTCTTGCTAAATGTCACTTTAGAATGATAAAAGCAGAGAGCAACTGCAGCTGAAACTTGTGGTTTGTGGAAACATAAAGTCTGTGGCTAAATGACACAATCAAAGAAGAGCCAAGTTCAGAGGTGAGTTTTGAAAAGTCTAAAATAAGACTCGATCTGCAGCAGAGCGGAAACAAAAGTGCGTTTCGCTGGTTGCTTTTACATAAGTGTCATAAAAAGTGTGATAAGAATGTCCTGTTTGAAATATAATGTGGAAGTCTGGACTTTGGCACATTTCTTTCTCTGTTTTTGCTGATTCAAGTGTTTTTCATCTTTCTTTGGGCTCCTCCTGGTTTTAATACTGTACTAACTCTTCCTCACAAGCTTTTCTGAGACTGTGACTTTTAGCAGCCTCCTCATGTTTGGTCCTGACTCTGGGACCAGCAGGAGTCCAGTCCCTGTGCTTTTCCCCCCACACTTCTTATGGGAACTTTATAAGCCTTAAAGGTACTCTGTGTAATTTCTACAGTTACTCCAAATGAAAAAACATGTTAACCAATAATAAATGTGGCCTCTTTAAGAATATTTATCACCATCATGTTTTTAAATTTGACTTATAAATGCCCATGAGGCTGAGGATTCTCTGTGTCAATGCGCCATCTTGAAATACAGTGGTCGATAAGGGACAAGTTTGAGCGGGAGTTGGGGACCACTGTCAAAGACCACATATTGTCCTGCGAAGGTAACGTAGTACCCAAGCCCCGGCGATCCAAGATGGCGCCCTATTCAAATGAATGGTTGTACTCAGTGATGCGTTGTGCCGGCAGGGGTGCCGAAAAGATTAACAAAAGTCACCTGGAACTCGCAAAGATCCATGGGAAACTTGCCTGTATTTGGGCATCGTCTGGTCCTCCCGGTTCTGCGCAGTGGATGATCTCCCATGATGCGTTGCGCCAAATACGCGTGTGTGGGTCTCATGCATAAGCACAGAGGGGCTCGGCCGCACTCTGACCCATCAGAACTGCTGATCAGAGCAGGAGCTAGAGCCAGACGGGCAGAGTTTGTGGCACTAAAGTGTGGATTTAAAGAAAACCGAAGGATTTAAAGAAGCTATACCCGATTTTTTTTCTAAGTAGTTCATAAAAATGCTTTTTATTACATACAAGTTGTATCATAATACATAATTTAATTGAAAACTTGAGGTCATTGATTCCACTTTGTATGAAATTCAGGCAGTGAAAAGTGCTGAGTAGAGTCTGAGCGGGCCGCTCTTTCTCCTCCGCTCACAGAACGAGCAGCGAACAGCCTGCGTCCTCTAGCCTCTACAGCGCTGCTTAACTCCAGGGCTTCGACTTCAAAATTTGAATATAATTCTAAAATAAAATATGTAAGGGATAACGTATATTACGCATATAACGGTCTGCTTCCGCCCTGAAGGTACTTATTTTCCGATAATGACCTGCGTAATATACGTTATCCCGCTTATTATACGGCTTTATACCAACAGAACACGCAACATAAACTTCAGTCCACTTTTAGGAATGCCGAAAGGTTTATTTAATGACAGAAAATAAAATAGTTCCCAAAGGCTTTCCCGTGGCTATGCTAGCAACAGTTAGGCTGGCAACTTCCAAACTAGAACTCTCTGGAACTGCATGAAAACTGAACAAAGAATTCTGAACATCAGCGGTGAGTGACCCATACATAAGCCTAACCTAAATCCATAATTCGATCCTCTGCAAATGTGTCCGAAAATATGCCGGTATCTTAAAATGTGCCGGTATCTACTTCCGGGTTTTTCGGGATCGCCTTTTCTCGCATTACATCAGTGTTTTTGTCATGAAGACAAGACCAGAAAATTCTGAAAATCTCCGTGCACGTGTGTGAAGAATGTATATGTATAAGTATTCTCCGATTAACATTTAAGTGTGTTGATTGAGCGTGGCTAGCTCCTGAGTGGCCGGAACTACTTGTGGAGTTATCCACGCATATGAAATACAAGCAGAGAGTGCGTTGCCATGGGCAGCGGTCATTATTGTTTTGAGAGGTCCGTTATAGAAAATAATGACCGGTAGAACGTTTTGAAATTACATTCAAATCAATGGAGCATTTTACTGCTGCTGTGAGGAGCCGTGTAATAAATATACATATTTGAACAAATATTAGACAGCCCTTATAATTCGAAATGTATTTAATGACTGCAAATAAAATAGTTAGCTCCCAAAGGTTTCACCGGGACGTGCTAGGCAGGTAATGGCTAAGCTAGCTAGCTGTTTCATGGTAACTTCCGGGTTTTTCGCAATCGCTTTTTGTCACATTAAAACAGTATTTTTTGTCATGAAAACGTTGACAGCAAATTCTGAAATCGTCCGTGCATGTGTGTTAAGGATGTATATGTATACTGTATTGTCCGATTGACGTTTAATGATGTTGATTTATTGATATGTATTTGTTTATTTAGCGTGGCTAGCTCGGCTAGCTCCGCTAGCTTCTCTACCCAGACAAGTGTGCAGAAAAACTGCACAATGTAGTGACAGGCGCTGATAGCTTGTTGTACTTGCAAAGTAATGGCAGTATTTTACACACCTGAATTACAAACAGAGATTGGATTGGGGCAGCGGTCATTATTGGTTTGAGAGTTCTGTTATCAAGAAAAAATGATCGGAAGAATTGCATTCAAGTCAATGGAGTGTTCTACTGCTGCTGTGAGGAGCAGGAGCTGCATAATAAATTATAATAAAATATTATAATATATTCTAATGTTTAAATTAATACATTCGGACGTGAAACTAATGGTATTCTTTTACTTATATATTGTGTTAGCAGTGCGTTGCTTTAGTGCCATTTAATCAGTGATTGTTGTACAGCTTACAAGTTGTGCTAATGCTAATGTTAACATACGTATCAGATCGCAAATAAAACTAGGTGGCTCCGTGTTATGAGAGCGTAGGGGAAATGAGAAGCCTGTGAGCGAGTTGGGGGGCAGTTCTAAACATTCAAAACTTGCAGAAACGGGTATAGCGCCTTTAAGAAGAAATAAAGTTCAGGATGACAAGAGACACTAAAATCCCCACAAAATCCGATATTTCTGAAAGCAGTAGGTTCTGTTACAGCTGAGGTTGCGCTGTTTTAGTTTACACTGAGTTCTATGGGGAAAATGTCTGGGTAGCCCTCATGAATTTAGTCTGCAGTACCACGAGAATCCCCCGAGCACGTGGGTTCTTCAGCTCCAAGCTGTAATACCCTATCCATTAATTATAATAGATCCATGGTAGTACTGTATTACAATATATGATCTCAATGCTTCAGAGGCAAGTAAAACCTACAGTGTGCCTTTAAACATGTAGAAAACATTACGAACATTGTAAGTTCTCATTCACAAAACCATGAGAAGACACATACATAAACATAAATAAACTGTTAATGCCCTGTTGTTTAATGATGCGATCAGATGACTGACTCAGATAAGGTCCAGAGGATGTGAGCTCACGAGTTCAGCTACAAGTTCAGGTCAATTTCCAAAGAAAACATTTAGAAACTTCAAGCCATGATTCAATAAAGGGTTTTCCAGATTCTCCGCTCCCACAGGTCTGGGTGGGACCTGGGTGGGTTAAACAACGTTCCTGATCCCAACAGCATCTACAGACCCTTCTTTACTCATGGCTTTTAACAACGCGTGACTCGTGTGGTCCTCTATTTTATTGGTTTATGTTTATTCATGCATACATATATATATATATATATACAGATATATATATTAAAATTATTCTAAATAGTTTTAAATCCAATGTATCTGTTCTATTCTGTTTTAATATGAAACTGTTGTATATCATATCTGTTTTTAGTTTTTCATTGCTCTTGTGAAGCACTTTGCCTTTTTCACAAACTGTGCTATACAAATAAATGTGGATTGATTAAAGAAGTTTATCTAAGCAGTTTTTGGTGGAAACACAGTTATAACCACGATACAGTTCTTTATTCAGGCTAATGTGGTTTTTTTGTGGTGAAAGGAAAGACAGGAGAGTAAGAAACTGTGGAGATTAACTAATATTTAAGCAATATTAAATTAAAATGTGATTAAAACCATCTTTTGAAAGAATCAAAGTCTGAATCAGTTTCAGGCAGTGACGCGCAGATCACCACAAGAGGGCGTCATCACATAAAACATGACAATTTCTCACCTGCATTACGTTGCGATATATAAGCTTTCAATTTAATTTAATTCAATGTATTTGTCTCTGAGGACGTCACAAAGTTGTTGATTCGGCCAAAAACAGATCAGAGAATCAAACACAGGAAATGCAATAATAACAAACACATAGAGACATTGGTTCGTAGGGAGGGACTGTATTTCTGACCACAAAGAACCCACCCCTCATTGTTTAATTAGCAGCATTTACCGTCAAACATCCCGTCTCTATATTCCACATGAACTTTCTCTGTAAAATCAGTAGCTGTGGATCTCTGCTTAATAATAATCCATTGGACACACTCCTTGAGGTCTATGTCGGGCTCCATAGATCAATGTTTTTCAACCAGTGGGCCGTGGCATGTTGGTGGGCCTTGAGATGTTTGTTAGTGTGCCTTAGAAATAGTCAAATATCACCTGGTTGATAAAAAAAAAAATCATGTGAAAAAAAAATGTGACATGCTAAGAAAGATCTTTTTGTGCTTGTTGGATTTTTCTAAATAATAAAAATGTATGAGAATCACTTTGCTTTGTTAAAAACGGCTGAAGAGTTGTGACGTGGTGATGTTGTGTCATGTGATTTTCTGCAATGATAAAGGTGTGCTCCGGTGTAACGACGGTTTGCACTGCCTTGAAGAGATGCACTGCCTCACCTGTTTATGATGTAATGCAAACCTGCGCATGCGCGTCTCACGGCAGCCGAAGCAAACCAAGATGGCGGACCGTGAATTGCTTTAAAAGTTAAAATACGAACGAATTAAGACACAAATGTCACTTTTAATGCAATTTGAGGCGAGATGTTGATGGTTCCATTTTGTCACATGTGGGTTTTAAGAGTCAAAGTTTTGTGTAAAGTTTAGTTTAAGCAGTCAACTGCGCCTGTGAAACCACACACACAATGTTATGATAGCAGTCCGCGGCTGCTGACGTAGGCAGATGACGCGTCCTGTGGCCACTCTACACTCTTACACTGGTCTGTCCGGTTGATAATGGAAAATGGGGAAAAACTCGATCTAATTAAATATTTCGTTTGAACACACTATTGTTAATCATATTGAATACAGTACGATACATGCATTAAATTTAATTGATTATTTAGTTATTTCTATTATTTATTATTTCCTTACAGCTGAGGCAGCGCAAACCGTCGTTACACCGGTGTTCTGTCGAGTTGGTCTGCCCGTCGAGATGATCTGGCTCAGATGTTAATGATGCAAACCTGCGCTGCGTGTCTCACGGCAGCCGAAGCAAACCTAGATGGCGGACATGTAGTTCGCGAATTGCTTTAAAAGTTAAAATACGAACGAATTACAACAGCTGAGCCAGATCATCTGGACGGGCAGACCAACTCGACAGAACACCTGTTGTATAAAACCCCCTGTGGTCAGTTTTCACTTGAACTGCTCCACGGCCCCCCTGCTAATGGGACATTCCATTCTACCTGGGCATGTCTTAACTTGTTCAGTTCAGTGTTGCCGATGTTGTTGCTTAGAGCATGTGCCGTGCTTGTGTGCGTCAATTACGAGTAAGTAATACTGTAACTGGAATGTTAGAAGCTATATTTCTCATGCCTGGTATTGTATATATGTGTATTGCCCATATAAATGTGAAGTTCTGTTAGTAGTTTCAGCCACGAGGCACCTTATTGACACGTGGTCAGCTTAGTAAGACATTTCAAAGTGTTACATGTGTTAAATATTAGTTACATATTATTTGTGTGCCTTAAAATGCATATCGTGATGTTCACTTTGTACATTTGCCTAGTTTGGCGTCGAGTAAAGTTTCCCTTTGTTCCTAAGTGCAATTACCTTGCCGTGCGCTAGAGGCGCTGTTTGGCACAGCCATAGTCCTGCCCCTACTCATTAACATTCATATCACCTCCATTATAGACTTGTAGCTCTAAGCGTGCAGTACATTTTTAAGACCACCAGGTTGCGCCATTATCCCCAGATCATATCGTTCCTCCTGTATAATGACCACCCTGTAACTTGTTTGTATTTACTGTATGCCTGGGCCTAATTGTTTGTTCTGTTGTTTTACAGAAAACCACACACACACACACACACACACACGCACACCTCACCCATGTACAATAAAGTGTTCAGTTTGAAATAAACTCGGAAACATAAAGGCTTGGACATTCCCTTCATCACCAGTCTCCAAAATTCCTTCTGACAGAGGAGAGGACGAGCTGCCAACCACCAGTATTTTAAGCACGCACATGTCCTAAATAAGTGGTCCTTCGAGCCGGACGGTTGGCAGTTTTCCCTAATGGAGACATCAAGGCAAGATGATGGAGAGCAAGCTGTTCGTCCCCGGAGGCTCCATCGCCTCCCAGGACATCTGGATGACTTTGTTCTCACCGATCCTTTCCATCAGCCTGATCCAGATATGAGCACTTTGAGGTGTAACGTTGTGACACCAGATCGAACATCGACTCCAATACAACAAGGAGCTGGAGCTGAGAGGTTTCCAGACATGGAGAGGATGATGAGGATGGAGCGGTGTGTCTCACAAGTTCAAGACCAGATGATGGAGCTACAGAATACCCTCCAAGCATCTCTGAATCTTCACCGGTCACCAGTACGACTTACACTGTCCGAGGAGGCACGCTGTCCCAGTGTTCCCACAGACCAGCAAATGGGCAGCCCGGAGACCATCCTCCCTCTCATCCAAGTACTGTCCAATCCCGAGCAGCCCACTGTGCAGAGAGCCACATCCCCCGCAGTCCTGCCGGTTCCTACGCTCCCCACTCCTCTTTCCACAGAACCTGCTGTTCGTGACGTGGGGGACTCTACACAGCCTGTTTATGTCCTCTCTTCAGCTCGAAGCGCAGCTCGACCAGCACCAGTGGTATCCAGGCCTGCAGCATCAGACCATCCACATCCGCCCTGGCCGCAGCAGCAGCAAAGAGAAGTGAATTGGACGACATCTTATCCCACTTGGTCTACACAGCCCAACGAGGGACCATACAGTTACCTGGGAGCAATGCAGACTCAGCCCTCAGCATTTGCTCCATATGTTGTGCCTGTTTCTTCAGGCTCATTACCCTGGGCTCAAGGCCCTACTGTGAGTCATCCCCCCTATGCACAGGTGCTCCCTCCCCCTCTGAGCACACACTATATGCACAGGGACTCAGCATTCCTCCCTCAGCCTCCTGTCAGTTTACAGCCTAGTGCTCCTCAGGACAGGTCACATTACACTCCCCCTATGTTGGCAGCCCAAAGGCCTAACCTGATGGAGATGGCTATATCCTCCTCTTATGGCATCCCTAAGCCAAGATTAGTAAGTTTTACCACAGGTAAAGAGAGCGACTTTCTATTATTGAAGAAGGGATTAGATGGTGTAATGGGCCCACATCTACATCTTTCTGAGGATTATAAATTCCAGGTACTTCTGGATCACCTCAAATTCCCAGCTGCATTTCAGATAGCAAAGAGATATGTGCATGACCCCATGCCATATACCAAAGCAATGCAGGCCCTGCAGCAACGCTATGGACAGCCACGTCAGTTAGTCCAAAGTGAGTTAAATGGCATTTTGAGAGCCCCCACAGTGAGAGCAGGAGATGCACAGGGTTTTGAGGACTTTGCTCTATCCGTTAGTAGTCTAGTGGGACTATTGACCTCCTTAGATGGAGCTGCTAAGAGTGAGCTAGAGTGTGGATCTCATGTAGACAGGCTGCTGAGTAAACTCCCCCATTCCTATCAGGACAGTTTTGCAGAATATTGTCTGTCACAGGGAATTTTACAGACTGACTCAGCTAATACATACACACTACCTGACTTTGCCAAATGGCTAGAGAGGAAATCACAAGCCATTCAGATCTCCAGAAGAGCTACTGAGAGCTATACGACAGATAAACCTCGCTCAGACCGCAAAGACAAACCTAGCCAGTTCAAGCAGCCAAAGTCTTCCTCATCCATTTACTATGGCACAGAGAAAGCACCCACTCCTGCTGCCATTAACGCAGAGAGCAAGGACACAGCTAGGGGTAAGAAACGAGAAAAGTTCAAGCCATATTGCCCATTTTGTAGTAGTACAGAACATTATTTGAGTTCCTGCCCAGATTTTTATCAAGCTAAGTACTACACAGGTTGTCAGCTGGATAAATGAAAATAAGAGATGCTGGCGATGTGGTAGAGGACATCAGCCTGACGGTTGCACTCTTAAAAAGCCTTGTGCCACATGTGGAGAGCAGCACCTGCAGATCCTCCATGAGGCATCCTCCAGTACTAGGAGTGTTTTGACTCTAAGCACTACATCCAGTATGGTGTACCTGGACCAGGCTACTCACTCTGGCAGAGTCATGCTCAAGGTTGTCCCAGTCACACTCCACAGTAAGGGCAGATCATTATCTACACACGCCATTCTGGACGATGGCTCTGAACGGACTATTGTTTTATCCGCAGCCGTTCATTATCTTCGACTAGAAAGGACGGCAGAGTCCCTTAAGCTGAGGACTATCAGGCAGGAAGTGTCAGAGCTAAAGGGAGCGAGTGTCACTTTTGATATAAGTGCAACACAAGACCCTCAAGTTAAACTTAACATTAGCAACGCTTTCACTGCTGCTGAGCTCAATCTGGCCAAACAATCTTGCCCCATGAACACTCTGCGGCAGAAATATCCCCACCTGAGTGACGTCCCATTTAAGGCATTTAAAGATGTACAGCCAATGCTCCTTATTGGCTCAGATAATGCACATCTCATTACGCCTCTGTCACCAGTTAAGGCCGGCCCACTAGGTACACCTGTGGCTGTGAACACTCAGCTGGGCTGGGCCATACAGGGTCCCGCCACATTCCTGCATGCACCCACTGAGGCTGCATGTCTGCACACATCAGTGCTACCATCCCCGGCTCAGGTGTTGAGACACAATGTAGAGAGGTTATGGCAGTTAGATGTACTTCCCTTTCGTTCAGAGAAGGAAGCCAGCCGATCTAAACAAGACAAAGAGGCTCTTCAGTTATTACAGACTCAGACCGAGCGGGTGGAAGTAGATGGAGTGTTGCGTTATGCTACTCCTCTGCTCCGACGCAAAAATGCCCCTAAACTACAAGCTGGCCCTGAGTCAGTTATGGCACTGCTGAGGTCCACAGAAAGGCGCCTGAGTAAAGACCCTGATTTAGCAGCTGTTTACACTGCAGAAATACACAAACTAGAACAGTCAGGCTATGCTAGAAAGCTAACACCAAGTGAGGCAAGCAGCACTGACGAGTCCTGGTTTATCCCTCATCATATTGTGCACCATAACAGCAAGCCCAGGGTAGTTTTTAACTGTTCATTCAACTACCGGCAGCACTGTCTTAACGACCAGCTGTTACCAGGCCCAACACTAGGTCCCACTCTGATAGGTGTGCTGTTAAGATTTAGGGAGTACCCTGTTGCAGTCAGTGGGGACATTCGTGGGATGTTCCACCAGGTGCGGCTCCTCCCAAAAGACATGCCACTCTTGAGATTCATCTGGAGAGACATGGAGAAGGAGCGCAGCCCGGACATTTATGAGTGGTGTGTGCTGCCCTTTGGACTACCTGTAGCCCCTGCTGCCCCACATATGCCCTGCAGCGCCACGTGCAGACCATAAAGAGGGCAATGAGCAGGTACTGGACTGTCTTTTGCGCTCATACTACGTATAATTGCCTGCGGTCCCTGCCCTTTCCATCTCAGCACGACCCCTCATTGACAACACGTGTTAGCGACAGGTGAGGTCAGGCATGGGCTAGTAACTTTCCTGAAGCCATAGCACACCTTTCCACAGACGCGAGGTCACCCACTTGTGAGCTGTGGCTAACCGCTCACAAACCAGATCCACAAGAGCCAACCCTCGGGCTGGCCTGGCACTGCTCGTCCGACCACATCAGCTACAGATGCCGCCCAGTCACTCCTCATGAGCCAACAATGAGGAACATCTATAGCATCCTCGCCTCACAATACGACCCACTCGGCTTCATTGCCCCTTTCACCACGCGTGCCAAGCTCATCGTGCAGCTGCTGTGGCAGAAGGAGAGACACTGGGACGAGCCAATTGAGGGTGAACCGCTAAGACTATGGAATGATTGGGTGAGTGAGTTGCAGTATCTCCCAGACATTTGCATGCCCAGATGTTACACTACTCCAGAGACATGCAACGGGACTGTACAGCTGCATGTATTCTGCGACGCATCTGAGCGGGCCTATGGAGCAGTGGCCTACCTGAGATTCGAGTCAGCAGAACATGAGGTGCACACTGCTTTTGCCATGGCCCGGTCACGAGTGCACCGAAAAGACAACTGTCAATCCCCCGCCTAGAGCTATGTGCAGCGCTGGCAGGGGCACAGTTATCCAAGCTCCTCCTCTGTGAGCTTACTCTCCCAGTCCACGACACCACTTTGTGGACAGACTCTACCACTGTGGTGAACTAAAGAAATCTGCTCTCTGTCCCCATGTTTTCAGTTGGCCTCACGCAGACTGACCTGCAGCGTTGACTCCTGGTCTGAGCTGGTTCAGACACTTACCTGTCACGCACGGGACGCAGCCCCACCCATGTCTGCAGTCCCAGCGTATAGAACGAGAACCAGCCTGCTCAAACAGCATCAGGCTGGACAGTTTCCCAGCAGAGGATAAACTCACTCACAGCTGAAATATGTGTGCTCGAACAGTAAAACAGCAATCAGTCCCCTGAATATACCCCCAGCTGGGCCCTGATCAAGTAGGGGGCCGCTCCGCAGAGAGCAGAAAGTATTGATAAAGACACATGCATCCGAACGACTTTGTCACCAGGGCCACCCTAAACAACTCAGCTCAGTATTAAAGATTATGACACTCGCCTCATGCATCCAGCCCTAGCGTGTTTTTGGCCAAAAACTTTAGCGCACGTACGGGTTTAAAGGAGGCAAGCAGAGGGGAAACATCAATCATCCACTGTGCTGAGTGCAAAAGGTGGAGAGCTAACCGCCTGTCAACTCCAAAATGTCGACCCCCTGCCATAGGCAGCCTTGCAGCACCTACATTCTGGTCAACTGGGTCACTGTTTTGGCCTTCACCATAAAGATAGGTAGAGACAAGGAAAACGCTGTGCAATATTTTTAAATGTCTCCACTACCCCTGCGTGCACCTGATCTACTTATAGTAATGGACACGACTCTTTCCGTCATTCTCTGCCCGTTTTCATGCGCGTAGGGAAACCCTTTGAAATACAGGAAGCGACCAGCACAAACTTAGAGGATCGACAGAGAGCAAAGCGCTTTAAAGCATGGAACCACAACTGCAGGATAACTTAGTGAGCAAGCATCACTTTCCACGTCAACCCCCCACATCTCCACATTTTGGGAGCCTGGGAGCTGAGATCCCTCTGTCAAATCTTCAACTCCAGGTAGTTCTTCAGGGTCAGAAAAAGTGTTTCGAGGATACTTGTGTGCACACTGCTCACGCCCTTGAAGTGGAGGTATACATAATTCTTAACCGCTTGATATGAGTCCTCTACATTGCATACGACGACCCCTCACTCCCAACATGTTGCTCATGGCGGCGTGACCTTCTCTCCTCAAGCTGTACGGCACAGAGAACAGCAGGGAACGGAAAGGGCGCCACAGTCAGGTGATTGCCCGACCACTTCTGGACTCAGTTTACTCAGCTACTACCTGCGACGTCAGGCACCGCCAGAAGTGGCAAAAGACTGTTTCACCCCTGACAACGTGACAAAATTGTCAAGGTGGTGGCCTTCCACTTCCGCGTGCATCGGCCTGTGGGTAAGTCCACACAGGTTTTCCCCAATCAGACGGACAGTCAGAGTGCTGAAGTAACTATAGGGAGCACACTTACCGACGCCCAGTGGCTAAACTTATCGCTCACCACTATGCCTTTGATCGCAATTAACTAACCACGTGTGGTTTCTGCGGTTTGCTAATGTGGGCTGCCACATTAGGGGCGCGTAATAAAATC